CCGTGGGCAGCCCTGGCCCCATGCCATGGCCACAGGAGCTTCACATCATGGCATCAGGTCCCCATCCCTGTCCCCACCAGCTGGGGGAGAGCCCACGGAAGGGGATGCTTCTGGGGACCCCGGTGGCTGGATACCAGCTGGCTCCTGTGTCCCCAGCCACCCACGAGGGACCTCACATTGCAGCGCATCCCCAGTGGCACTTTTCCATACGTCTGCAGAAGGGGGTTGCTCAATGTCCACGGGGGGTTCACGTCTGAACTGCATGGCAGCACGGAGGGGGGAGAGGTGACAACCCTTTCTTCACCAAAAGGGCTGTCAGGCTCTGGAATGGGCTGCCCAGGGAGGTGGTCGAGTCCCAATCCCTCACCCCCCCCAGCTCCCCCATCCACTCCTCATATGACTTATGCTCCAGACCCCTCCCCAGCTTTATGGCTCTCCTCTGGACATGTTCCAGCACCCCAATGTCTTTCTTGTAGTGAGGGGCCCAAAACTGAACACAGTATTCAAGGTGCGACCTTCAGACACGCATCATTCCCAAGCCTTCCCCATGCCTCCAGGGACCCCATCAGCCAAAACCAGGCCCTGCACCCCACTGGGAGAGGTTGGCGGGGAGCATTGCCAGCAGCAATGGCAGGAGCAGGGGGCACGGGGCTGGGGCTGGAGCCCAGCACAGCCCCCGTGGGGCTGCGGCATGGCTGTGGACGCGCTTTTTTTCCAGCCCTGGGTGGGAGCCAGGGGAGACCAGTGAGGGACTCTGGGGTCCTTGGGAGGTGCAATGAGATTCATGGGTCTCTGCAGCCGCAGCCCCAGTGTTTGGGCAAGCCTCCCAGCAATTTGCCATCCTCCTGGGGAGCCTGTCCCCAGCCATGGCTCAGAGGGGGGAAAATGCCACCACACATGTGCCCCCAAGTGTCCCCATGTTGTCCTCAGTACTGCCTGCTGTCACTTCCCCCCATGGCACCACTGAGAGGCAGGGGGACTGAGGTGCCACAGCCCTGGGGTGCTGAGCCTTGGCCCAGCTTCCCTGGGGGGAGGTGGAGATGCTAGGTCAGAGATGTCCCCATGGGCTGAGAACATGCCTGGGAAGGGACCTCATGTACCCCCTCCCAGGGGCTGGCTGGGGTGTCCCCTGGGGGAAGAACATCTCCCAGCAGAGGCTGATCGCTGTCACTAGTGGCTGCAGACCAACGTGTCCCCCATGAACCCCACGGTGAAGCTCCAGCTTAAGGTTGAACACCGCCCACTGTGCCCACCCTGGGGGGGGACACAAGGGCATCCATGCACCTCCAGGAATCTCCATGGTGGCCCAGATGCCTCAAGAGCACAGGGCCAGGAGCACCTGCCCACCTTGGTGCAGTGCTGGCCCACACAGCAGGACATGCAGAAACACTGGGGACACCCAGGAAGGGACAAGAAGGGTGGAGGGGACAGGTCACGGGGACAGAGGATGGGCAGCAGCGTGGGCACCTGGCTGAGACATGTGGGAGGGTGGGAGAGCTGCCACCACTGACAGTTGCAAAACGGACGAGGGACCTTGCGGCCTTTCCCCAAATAGAACATTTCCCTGATTGCCACATGCCGCGGGGACACGTGGGGACGGGCAGTGCCGGCCATTGCCCCAGCTGTGGCCTCTAGTGATTCTATGATTCTATTCTATGATTCTATGAGGCCCCCCCTGGCAGCACTACTGCCAGCAGCACACCCACACCGGGGCCAGAATGGTCCCATCCGTGTCCCCATCCCGTGTCCCCAGGACCCACGTTGGGGCCCCATGCGGCAGCGCATCCCCACTGACATTTTCCACACCGGCGCTGCCACCGCCTCCAGGGCAGCAGTTGCAGAAGGGGGTTGCTCAATGTCCAGGGGGGGTTCACGTCCCGAGAGCATGGCAGCACGGAGGGGGGAGAGGTGAGGCCCCCCCGGCAGCGCTGCTGCCTGCAGCCCACCCGCACTGCGGGCAGGATGGCCCCGCTCTCCCACAGCCCCAGAGGTGTCGGGGGGTGGGATGGGAGAGGTCGGGAGAGGCCCCAGGCACCTCCCCTCCTCGCCGCCCTGCTCCCCACCGGGGGACGCAGCGGGACCCCCG